CCATACTTTATCAAATCTCAATGCAATTATTCTAGTGGTGTTCTGGCCGGTCATGTGTTCTGACGTACAGCTAGCTAGCTAACTGGCAGGTTCATTGAGGCTTGTCATGTCCTGGTCAACAATTGGTGACCGGAGCAACAAGGCGGCGGCGGTTGAAACAGTAGCGCGATGATTAGACGAGCTTGGTGTTCGAGTGACGAAAGCAAATATGGAAAGAGGTGGACCAAAGACTAACTTTTATACTAGCCGGCCCAAACGGCGGCTAGAGGAGGAAGACGCCTCCGACAGGTGACGCACCTATTAGAGGCAACTTCATAGACTGAGCGGCTAGGCCACCTGGGCCACCAAAAGGAAAGTAGGGTTAAAGTGGCTTCGTAGGCTGGCAAAGGAGGGAGGGAGAGAGTCCTTGGGCTGAAATGGCCCAATGTGTGAAGGAGTTTTTCTTTTTTAGTTTTTAATTTACTAGCAAAAATATCCGTGCGTTGTAACGGGTGAAAAAATTTTAAAAATATTATTTTTATATGATACGCTATCAAGCATATTAGCTATACTTATCAAAGTAGTCTGATAATTGCATATATACAGAGACATGCAGGGCCTCCAATATATGAGAATAGATCATGGATCACAAGCCATGTAGGAGATGGAAAAAAATTGATGGATCCTATCTGACCCAAGCCTCGATCAATTTGATCTCGTTCTGAGAAAAAAAAGCTCAACCAAGACTTGTTTTAGATCCGCACATCAGAACATTGAACGAACGCTTCGGAAAAACCAAACCAACTAGGTAGACAATACAAACGATACGTTTCTTTTTCATGGAATCAGAATTTTTTTCCTAAAATAGGATAGTTTTTTATTGCATTATACGGCGCGATCTGAATTTCTTTATAAACGCAGGTTTTTTTCTCATGTTGGGTCAGATAATTTTTCGGAGCGATTTTTGATAGACGACGTTTTTCTCTCACATAGAGTTGGACGGTTTTTTCAATCTGTTTTTTTTTTCACATGGATTCGGACAGTTTTTTCGATCTGTTTTTTTATACACAACGATTTTTATCTTGTGTTGAGTTGGATTTTTTTTGAACCTGTATTTTTTAAAAGACAATTTTTTTCTCGTGTTGAGTCGGGTGGTTTTTTCGAACTGGTTTTCTTATAAATGGCGTTTTCTCGCTTTTGAGTCGATTATTTTTTCATTTTTTTAAGATGACGGAAACTTGGCTTTGCACGGATAAAGGCGTTTTTTCCATTGGTACAACAACTAACTATTAGGAGTTAAGAAATAAATTGAAAAAGCCTTGCCTCCTACCTTCGTTCGCTCAGCATGCCTCTCTTAGCTTCTGAAATACATATATGTGTCCGTATGATGCCAGAGTGGATCATCCCCATCAAATCTAGTTGAATCTTTCTCGATCTCTAAAAATTTATCAAGGGCTTTTGATCCACTCAATCTCCTCTTTCCATTTTTCCCAAAATCGGAATGAATCTGTAATAATCGGGATAAAAAATGACATGGTAAAATCGTCGGTCGGTCATCATTGACAACAGTTTAATGGAGATTAAATCCGGTAAATTAAAACCGAATTGAAAGGGGAAATCATGGGGGAAAGGATGAGTAAGAGTCATCATTGACAACAGTTTAATGGAGATTAAATCCGGTAAATTAAAACCAAATTGAAAGGGAAAATCATGGGGGAAATGATGGGTAAGGAGTGGAGAATTGATTTTTTCAATTAATTAGAGGAGAAAACGCATGAGGAGACATATATTTTTAATTAATTGGAGAAAAAAACGCATAAGGAGACAGATCGATGTGGCGGCAGGCTTAGGGTTCGGCTTAGGCTGCGCGGCGGCGGATGGAGGTGTGCGACAGCGGAATGGATACCGGATCGGACACCTATTGAGTCGGACCTTTTTCTCTTTTTTTATGGATGTGAACTTCTTTTTTTTTTTACCGGATCGGACAACTTATATTGAGTTGGACTTTTTCCTTTATTTTTTTTACGTGAACTCTTTTCTTTAAGGGAGTCGGATGTATTTTTTTAGTTTTTAATTTATGGAAACTCGAAATTATTTATTTTTATTGAATATATAATTTTTTATATTGGTCTGATAGAGAAAAATCAGGTAAAAACAAATTAAGGGTTTTACACTGGTAGAGAAACCATCTTTGGTCGGTCGACCCAAATCCACAATAGTCCCGGTTCCATTAAAAACCGGGACTAAAAATGATTTTTAGTCCCGGTTAATAAGAGGAAGATCTTTAGTCCCATCATCTTTAGTCCCGGTTGGAGTTACCAACCGGGACTAAAGTTCATTTTTAGTCCCGGTTGATTCCATGTCAGGCCGTGTCAGTGCCCTATGATCTTTAGTCCCGGTTAGTAACACCAACCGGGACTAAAAACCTATTTTTAGTCCCGGTTGGTGTTACTAACCGGGAATAAAAATCAAAACACACTATATAATCCAATCCTCTTTTCCCGTCCACACAACAAACTCCTCCCTCTATCTCTTTTTTTCCTCTCTAACTTCTTATCTCTTTCCTTATCTCTAACTCCCCTCCTCTCCTTCCTTTTTTTTCCTTCACCCACAGTGCAGGCGGCGACGCGGGGGACGGCGCAGAGGCGGCCTGCGCGGCGGCGGCGGCGGGCGGCCGGCGCGGCGGCGGCGGCGCGGGGGGCCGCGTGGCGGCGGCGCGGCGCCGGCCGGCCGGCCGGCGCGGAGGGGTGGAGGGGAGGCGGCAGTGGCCGCCGGCCGGATTTTTTCTTTTCTTTTTTTTTTGAGATGTGAATCTGTGATGTATTTTTATGTGAGATGTGAATCTGTGATGAATTTTTTTAAGAAGCCTGTGATGTAATTTTTTTAAGAGTTTGTGATGTATTTGGAGATGATTTGTTTGAGGATTTGAGGATTTGGAGATGTTCTGTAGTATGTGATGATTTGGATATGGGAGGGGATGGTATGAAATCAATATTCAATATTAAAAGTAGAAAAAAAAAGAAAAAATATCTTTAGTCTTTAGTCCCGGTTGGTGTTACCAACCGGGACTAAAGATGGAGCATCTTTAAAGATTGATGTTTAGTCCCGGTTATTTGAACCGGGACTAAAGATAGCGATCTTTAGTTCCGGATTCGTAGTCCCGGTTGGAAAACCAGGACTACAGGGATTACGAACCGGGACTAAAAAGCATTTCTCCACCAGTGTTAGAGCTGGAGATTAAAGGAAAACACCCCCACATTTGAATATTCCTTGGATGTAATATGATCGTTTGTGCATTTTCTTTTATAGGCTTGAAATAATTTCGAGAATTATTTAAAAAGTGATATTTAATTTATGATTTTAATATTACATCTCCAAAAATAATAATGCCAAGGGGTCAGTCAACCCTTTAGATTCAAATTCATATGGAACTTGGCTAGCTAAGGACGCGTAGAAAGAGGTATTCTAGTCAAACGATATACTCCTAGCTCGTGAGCAGCATCAGATATTCAGATCCAAGGGGTAGGTACGGTGGGTATGCATGCAGTGGGCTAGAGAGAAGACATTTATTGGAATACAACACCACAGGATACTGCCAACGTTAGTTGTTTGATCCGGTCAATATATCTATTTTTAGCTGCCGGTGCGATGTATGTGTGGTGTACGCCACTTTCTTTTGATTTCTTCCGTACCAAAAAAGTAACTCTAGCAAAAAAAAAAAAAAAACTAGCACTTCCGTTTTACTAGCATGTAACACTACTAAAAAAACACCAAGTAAGGCTGTACTGAGTTAGGGCAAGTACTGTAAGTTTTCTATCACTAATTTTAAAATGCCATGTAGATTCATATGATAATGTGGAGGGGAGAAGAGAAGAGAGGGGAGCAGTCACCCTTTACGCAAGGAGCAACCTCAACACAAATTTCAAGAAATGGCAGAGGAAAGAGAGAAGTAAATTGGTAACAAATGTATTGGATGTAGTGTAAGTAGATGCAATCTATTGTATGTATTACCCCTAAACTAATGTGTAGATGCTTTGGACAAAATTAGATATAACCACTTCCTCTGTTATAAAACTTGCCCTTAGGAACCCCTCTCCTCCTCACAAAAACGGAGCGACGAATTGACGTAAGATTAATTAAGTATATTAGAAAAAAGACAAAAAATATATTGATATGTTTTTTATAGCAACCTTTCCATAAATATTTTTGCAAAACCATAGACCATTAATAGTCCAGAAAGCGTGCACAATAAAAACGAGGAACTGAATGTTTGAAAACATCAAGTTAAGAACACAGCCGAAGTGAGCCATGATATATGTCGGTACATATGAGACATTTCCTATCCTCCCGGCCCTTCTATAGGTCCTCGGTTTAATAAAACCGGAAACCTCACAATACCGAGAATTCCTAGATACATATGGTTCATCACAATCTGTATGGATTAAATCTTTCAATACGTAATAATACACGCTAGTAGAAAACTGATCTTTGCTGGGTCGGCTAAAAACTACAATAGTCCCGATTATAAAAAAGATCAGGAAAAAAAAACATTTTTAGTCTCGGTTACTGTAACGCCCTGATTTTCGTTCGGGTTTAAAAATCATTTAATAATACATTTCCTAGAAATTAAATAAAAAGTTAATCAATTTAATCAAGTGAAATTATAGAGGAAATTAAAAATTTTTCCCTTAAAAATCATTGGCCGGGAATATTTTGTAATATTCTTTGTGCCCTAATGTACTCTTCGGAATTTTCCGTGAATTTTCGGAGCTCGAGAAATAGTTTTAATAGCACAAAGATCATTGCATCAATTTAAATAAAAAAAGAAAACAAAATAAAAACTCCCCTTCCTCCTTGGGCCATTTTCGGCCCAAGAATCCTTCCCCTCCCCCGCGGCTCGCGCGCCCTCCCCCTCTCGGGCCTCTCTCTCTCTCCCCCTCGGCCCGTTTCCCCTTTCCCTCACGCAAAGTCTAAATAACCCCCTGGTTTCTCCTCCCTCTCTCCCTCCCCGACAGGTGGGCTCGGCGACCCCACCTGTCAGGCCCTCCTCCTACCTTCGGTCTCCAGAGCAGAAGCCGCCGGCATCCGCCATTGCCGCCCACGTCGCCGTCGATTCCGGTCCTCCCGCTCACGCCCTCGCGCCCAAACCGCATAAAATCGGTTCCCCTCCACCTCCTCTACCAAATTCCCCACTTTTCCCCAATTTTCGGCGCCAAATCGAGTCCCCACTCCGCGCATGTTGACCTCCACGTCGCCGACCGGTTGCCGCCCGATTCCGCCCCTCTCGGCCACGATCTCGCCACTCAAGCCCATATAAACACTCCCCGTAGCTTCCTCTCTCGTTTCCCCAATTTTCCCGATCTCCTCGCGCCCCGTACCGCTCTCCCCACGTGCGCTCTAGCTCCGCCGCTCGCCGGCGGCCTCCAGCCGGCCCCTGCCGCCACTCCCGCCATCCCCGCGTTGCGCCGTCACCACCACCGGCTTCGCCGCTCCCCGCCGCACCCCGGCTCCACCTCTTTTCCCCGAACCACTGCCGTGATACCATGTCCACGCGCAGCTCGAGCGACCGCCGCCTGTACCGCCTCCAGCCGCCTTCCGCCGCCGCTCCCGTCCACGCCGACCCACGCCGTCGTCTCCCTCGGCTCCGCAAGGACAAGGAGAACCTCGACCATCTCTTCCCATCACCGGAAATTCACTGGACGTCCGTTTTCCCGTGCGCCAGTGAGCCCTTCCTCCCTTCTTTCCCTCTCCGGCCGGCCATGACGCCGCCCCGTCCTCTCTAACACCTCTCCTCCCATCCCATTGTGCAGCCGCTGCTCGTCCACTCCTTCCCGAGCGCCACCCGTCGCCGGAGTGCCGCCGTCTCTCTCCGCCCCGAGCTTCGTCGGCCGCCTCCCTCCATTGTCGTACCCATGGTGAGCACTCCCCCTCCCTTCCCGCTTTCTCCCCTTCGTCGGCCATCTCCCATGCTCGCTGCCGCGTCGCGTCGCCGTCGCCGGCGGCCGTCCGGCCGTCCTCCTCCGCCACCTTGCTGGGCTCCTCCCTTGCCGACTTGGGGTGCCCCCGTGGACAGCCCGTGGTCCTGGTCCACGGCGCGCCCGAGGTCGCGGTGGACGCGGTCCACCGTGTGCCCTCCCCTTGAACCCGCTGACGTGTGGGGCCCGCGTGTCGGCGCCGGCCTCCCCCTTTTGCTGATGTCAGCGATTGCTTTTCCTTTGTAAAAATATTTAATAATTGCGCAATAATTTGGTAATAATTATAGAAATCCATTAAAATGGCTCAAAACTTCTAAAATCCATATCTAATTCATCCGAGCTCCGATTAAGTCCATTCAAGTCTCAGTAAATCAAGAAAAATGTGTAGAATCCATTAAAAATGGCTTTGTTCTCTGTTTCAGTAGTCTTATAGCATGTTTTGCTTGTGTGCTTTGTTTGTTGCGTAGATTTCGGCCGTTTCGTCGATTCGCGGTTTCTCGAAGACGTTGCTGTGGTCTCATCAGTGCGAGAGCAAGGCAAGTCATGCAATACAATTGATCATATTGTACCCAATTTACAAATATCCCGCATTTCTATTAAATATTGCATTGTTTTACAATATCATGTGGGATGGGTCCTATTACTCAGCCATATATTGCTTACCTTATGCCATTGATAACGTGGGTATTAAAATGACTAGATGTTGGTTTAGGAGATGCTTAGCCATGCTTAGTTCAACTAGTGCACAAAAGGGGATCACACTAAAGCATAGACTTTGATTATTGGCATAGCTTTGATTTAGAGCCACCGTAATGGTGTTGGTTAATTAAAATACACGTCATGGTGGGTTGTGGGTGCATGGTCTTGCTAGTCGCACCCATGGCATTTAAGGACCGGTTCGCGGGATGCCCTGGAAGAACTTATCGTACTTACCACAAGCCAGCGTGGGCAACGGCTGGGCTTGTAGTATAACTTTTCTCTAGCCGACGTACCCAGGCGAGGGTGGGCGTGATGGAGTTGGGTCGGCCGGGGTGTCCGGTTGATCAGCTTCCGGATTCACCGTGGCATGAAAGGGGGGCTGCCCGTTGCCTGCTGGGGACGGGGGCGAACCCTAAGGTGTGGTGCGATCGGTTAGAGGGGGTTATGCGAAGGGTCTTGTCACGGCCTCTTTCCGGTATGTCGTGGTGGCATGTCGGCGCACGGGAACGTGTCGTGGGGCTGTGTCTTGTGGGTACAGTTGTACACCTCTGATCAGTGTAAAACTATTCGAATAGCCGTGCCCGCGGTTATGGGCGGTCGACCAGATTCACCGTGATTAGTTTCACCCTAGTTAGCTTTTGGAACTGGTTAGTTCAGGTGGTGGTTTGGGCCTGTTGCAACGTGGTGTAACGTTGGACAGTGATTGGTTAATATGGATTAATTACTACAACTGTTTTACTGCTTTCAACTACTGCTTTGAAATGCCGACCTTATGCAAAAGAACCTTTAGCCTCCCTTGGATATATCTTGCATCATACCTCCTCTTCCGGTATGACTTGCTGAGTACAGTGGGTAGTACTCAGTCTTGCTCTCTTTTCCCCCACATCAGAGTCGAAGTTCTTCTCAGTTGGAGATGTCTTGAAGAGGTTGGTTTCGTCGTTGCCATCAAGGGTTGCCTGTGGAATGGAATCGCCCGCTGCAGGAGTCAAGTCTTCAGGCTTAGCTCGCTTTTACCTTTTCCGCTGCATTTGTAATCTTTTATATTTTTGTAAGACGTGGATCTGTATGTCAACAATTGTCGTTTGTGTACCCTGGCTGGTCCTGGACAGGGGTTTAATACACATTCAGCTTAGAAATTCTGGTTCGTGAATTTCTGGGCGTGACAGTTACCAACCGGGAGTAAAGATGATTTATAGTCCCGATTTATTCCCTGTCAGTGGCTTATCAGGGACCAAGGATTTTTAGTACCGGTTGGTGGCACCAACCGGGATTAAAGATCACCACTTTAGTACCAGTTGGTATTACCAACCGGGACTAAACATCCATATATAGTATATAATCCCTACGACTTATCTTCCCAACTCCCCATCTTCCTCTCTCTCCTTCTCATCTTCCTCTCGTTGTTATCCTTATCCTTTCCTTCTCAACTTCTCCTTCTCCCTCTGTTCTCTGCAGCAGATTGAGGAGTGGCCGGGCGGAGGGCCTGCGGCCGGCGGCGAGGCCGCGCGGAGGGCGGCTGGCGGCGGTCGGCCGGGCGGAGGTGCGGCGGCAGGCAGCGGCGGTCGGCGCGGAGGCGACCGGCGTGGCAGGCAGTGGCTGCGCCTCTGCCGGAGGGGAGGCGATCGGCGCGGAGGATGTATTTGGTTTTTTTTTCTTTTTTAATAACTAGGAAGGTAGCCCATGCATACGCGTGGACATGTTGTTTAATGTTGTTTGAATTTTTTTTATGAATGTTTATGTGTGGATGATATTTTTAAAATATTTTTTACTCTATTTTAAACATGTGTTCGTTAATAACTGGTTTGGGCATATTACTTCAAACCATACATCCTCAAATTTATTAGAAAAATATATGTCACAATAATGGAGTTGGTTCATATCTACTTGTATTATGTGTGATTCTTTCTTTTTAATATTTTTGGAGTTTCCAAAGTTTATATAACATTTTGTATTCTGTATTCTATAGATGACTTTAAGCAGCATTTTAATTTTATTATATATTAATGAAAGATATTTTCTATTAAAAATATAGCTAATGGTACTCCTTCATCTAACCAAAGATAAACTCATATTACTTATACTCCCTCTCACATAAATTGAAGGGAGTTAATTTTTTTCCCAAAATAATAGAAGAATATATATGTAACCGGGACAAAATGATTTTTTTTTTAAATACTACCACGATAATCTCCAAAGTACCATATTGTGTTTTGACAAATATATATAGTATAGTGCATGTTAGTTATGTGTCTGGTTTGTTTTCAGCACCTATTGTTTTTATTCACATGATACACCTTTAGTAACTTGAAGAATACATATGTTTATTTAAATTTAAATTAGTGTTATATATTCATCACGTGTTTTTTAGACCTAAAATATTATGTAAAATTATTATCATAACATTAATTATTACATATCGGCTCCATATGTTGTGATGAATTTAGAGCTATAGACATTATAATTTATTTATTTAAAGGAATACAATAAGATCACAAATTGGATATATAATTTTAAAATAATGTAAAAGATAGAACACTTAAAAGCATTGATTGGATATTTTATATTTATAAATTCGAATGTTATTATATTTTATCTTTAAATTGTAGAAAATTTTATTTTAATGACTGTTGATTTTTTTTGGGCTTTATCATGAGTACGTGCGTATGGTTTTCTGATCTTTCGGCAAACGATACATGAGCATTGTTGTTTTTTTTCAATCATATGTAGGTACGGTTTCTAGTCAACAGTCATATATTTCTCATGTATACATATATAGGAGAAACGTACTATTTTAAAATAATAAATCTAATATAATGGTGTAAAATAAAAGAACTAAATTGTGTTGTTTTCATTTTTACATATGTAGATTTAAATTAGTGTTGTATATCGTCAAGTGACACCCTAAAATATAATATGAAATAAAAAATTATCATAGCATTAATTTATATATATATCAGCCTCTTATTAAGATAGAACATTTAAAGATCATTGATTGGATATTTCATATTTATAATATAAATATAGTTAATGGATATTTCATATTTATAATATAAATTTAGTTTAACTATGTATATTTACGTAAATTTGTAGAGCAATATATTTGTATCGATCTTTTTCCAATGATACATATTTTTTTGGTTTTATTTTTTTATAGTAGGCCCGTGTGTAGATTTTTCTTTCTTCCGATGCACAGTAGGTAATCTTCATTTCTTTTCCCAGTCATACGTACGTACAGACTACTTATGTTTTTTTTCCTTTTCTAGCCAAAAATTATATAGTTCTCCCGTATATGTAGACGGAGTAAGGTATTAGTTTCTTAAATAAAATACATATAACATAATGGTCTAAAATATTGGGTTTACCAATTTAAGTGAAAATCGACGGTGATATTTTGATAATGGTACTACGTACTATGTTTTTTTAAATGAATACAACGGGATCACAAAGTCGAATATATAATTTAAAAATATTTTAAAATGTGAATTTTTATAGAACGTTAATTTGATACTTTATATTTTTTATGACAGGTCTAGTTGATCTATATTTGTGAAATAATATATTTTATTTTTTATGTAGAAAATTTTATTTTTGATTTATTTCGATGGTACTATATACGTTTATATTTTGGCTTTATTTTTTTTACACGTGGCTTTAAGTTTTTATCATAAATACGTTGGCATGTTTTTTCCTTCCTAATGAACCGTAGGTAATTAAGCAGCGTAAGCTCTACTGCTCTTTCCAATCTTACGTACTTATATTTATTTCCCAGCAAACCAATGAACAGTACTTAAGTTTTTTTAGTCGTACATTCGTACTTATGTTGTAGTAGAATGAAATGGAGGAAGTAGTACATATGTTTTTTTTGTTTTTTTCCAACAGTAAGGTATCAGTTTAGTTTTAAACGAAATACATCTAATCTAATCTAATCTAATCTAATGGTCTGAATTAATGGGTCCACCGATTTAAGTGAAAATCAACAGTGAGATTAGACATTATATTGCCACGTGGCGGTATAGGAGTGTCTGTAGAAGTGTCACGTGGTGACTTGAGAGCGTTTGTACAAAGTTTAATGGACTTTTAGTATATAACTAGGAAGGTAGCCCGCGCATATGCGAGGGCATGTGCGTAAAATTTTATTATGAATGTCCTTGTGTGGATGGTTTTCTATCAAAAATATTCTTTCACTCTATCATAAACTAAAATTGAACTTACTTAAAGTGCTTTGAACGCTGGTTACTTACAATATATAATATTATGATAAATCCACTTTATGAAGCATCTTTGAAATGCTTTGATCTCTATAAGTCGGGATGAAAATATAAGTGGGTTGATCCTACAACCTAGCATGGGGTAAAGGCATTAATTCTAAATTATCTCACTCCAATTAAGCAAGAAAAATTAAAATAGCTGCCGTAGTATTTTCTTAGCAAATTACCACTAAACTGGAGCGTCATATAATAATTACATGTTTCTAGATTGTTCTATGCTATATGTCACAAATTCACGATGTTACTGTAGCAAGTTTTACAAAAAAAAAGATATGGTCTTTTAATTCCTATCTGTAGGCTTATATATTGCTGAGGCCATGTCATGGTTGCTTCACTCTTAAGATTCCTCGGTGCAACCAACGTGCTCAGGACAATAATTATGTTGTTAAACTGGCCACGTGACTTCGTAGATCATATATATAATTTAGATGCTATGATCATCTTAAGATTATTTATATATCTCCTAAAATGATCATTTATTGATAAAAGCATCAATACCAAAATGTATGGGTAAATAGCTCCTATATACAAGCTGAAAAAAAGTTGATAGAAAGACGTTAGATGTCTAACGGGATATATAAGTAATGGGTCTACCAGTTCTATAAAAAAATAACCTAGGTCATTTTGATTTTTAGTGAACAATTTTAGTATTTTCTTTTATTTAGGGTAAAATTTTCTATAGGACATTAAAAAACGTGTAATTGGCCGGAGAACACCGCAAGAACGCGTATCTGTTGTGGGACACTGAAAAAACTGGTAATTAGCTATTAGAGGCCCGTGACATTATTTTATAATATCCAAAGGAAATGCAGAGAGAAAGAATAACAAAAGTATGACTTTTCCCATGCCTACCAAGTCCGGCTCGCATACACCTTCGACGCTGCAACCGCACCAGCCGCCAATGAGGTGGCTCTCTCACTGGTGGAGAAACCCTTTGTAGTCCCGGTTTGTAACCCCCTTTAGTCCCGGTTTCCAAACCGGGAGTACCAATCCGGGACTAAAGATCGCTATCTTTAGTCCCGGGTGAAATAACCGGGACTAAAGATGGCTCAGCCACGTGGCCGGCTGAGCCATCTTTAGTCCCGGTTGGTGTTACCAACCGGGACTAAAGATCGAGCTGACCTTTTTTTTTTTTGCATGGCCCTGTTGCTGCATGGTTTATATATATATATATATATATATATATATATATATATATAAACACCATGCATATATATGTTTCAATACATATATATGCATACATATATATATATATATATGTATATGTATATGTGTATATACATATATGTATATGTATATATACATATATTTATATATATATGTATATACATATATATATACATATATTTATATATATATGTATATATATATATGTATGACGTTTTGAGTATTCGTCTTATTCAAAAATTTATGTATTATTATTTATTTTATTGTGATTTGATTTAGCATCAAATGGTCTTTAAGCACGACATAAATATTTTTATATTTACACAAAAATTTTAAATAAGACGAATGATCAAACGTTAGTAAAAAAAATTAATAGCGTCAAACACTAAAATAATATTTTTATATTTACACAAAAAATTTGAATAAGACGAATGATCAAACGTTGGTAAAAAAAATTAATAGCGTCAAACACTAAGATATGGAGGGAGTAACATCGTTTTGTGTAATAAGTACCTTAAACAAGGATTAGATAGAACTTTTAATGAAATTCAGATGCAAAGTAGATCAAGAAAAGCCCATATGTGAGTCCACGGGTTCGCACAATCGCACGGGTTAAGGTCCTTAAGGACTGTATTATTCATAAGAGCACACGTTTTCCTTGAACTGTCTGGTTCCGAACCATTTGTTTGACTCACAGACAATGAGACAATCAAAAACTACTGGAAATTTACAGCATGCAACTGATATAATATGAAATACTCCTGTATTTATCCACACAAGGCCGGCAGACAAACACAGGCAATCTTGAATCATCAACATGTCATCGTCCACCAAGAGAGTTACTCACCATCTTCCGTCGTTGCTGCTAACCGTGATGCACATTCTCCTCCCAGTCCAGGCCACCACCAATCTTACTGCCCGTACGAGCTCCTCCATACCACCGGTTCCGTGCCATCCTGATCAAGCCTCAGCGCTGCTCCGGCTGAAGCACTCCTTCGACGCGACGGTCGGCGACTACTCCACTGCCTTTCGGTCGTGGGTCGCCGGCACGGACTGCTGCCGCTGGGATGGCGTCGGCTGCGGCAGCGCCGATGGCCGTGTAACCTCACTCGACCTGGGCGGCCAGAACCTGCAAGCCGGCAGCGTCGACCCTGCACTGTTCAGGTTAACCTCACTGAAGCACCTCAACCTCTCCAGCAACAATTTTAGCATGTCCCAGCTCCCGGTGATCACCGGATTCGAGCGTCTCACCGAACTGGTTTATCTTGATCTCTCTGACACCAACATTGCGGGCGAGTTGCCAGCTAGCATCGGGCGCCTTACGAACCTGGTCTACCTGGACCTCTCCACCAGCTTCTACATCGTCGAATACAACGACGACGAGCAGGTGACATTCAACTCAGACTCAGTTTGGCAGCTCTCAGCGCCAAACATGGAGACCTTGCTTGAAAACCTCAGCAACCTGGAGGAGCTCCATATGGGAATGGTGGATCTGTCCGGCAATGGAGAACGATGGTGTTACAACATAGCCAAATATACACCAAAGCTTCAGGTTCTAAGTTTACCTTATTGCTCACTGTCAGGTCCCATCTGTGCATCGTTCTCTTCCTTGCAAGCACTCACTATGATCGAGCTTCACTATAATCGCTTGTCAGGTTCAGTGCCAGAGTTCTTGGCTGGCTTCTCTAATCTCACTGTTCTTCAGCTATCCAGAAACAAGTTTCAAGGATCGTTTCCTCCCATCATCTTCCAGCACAAGAAGTTGAGAACGATCAACCTCTCTAAGAATCCTGGCATATCTGGTAATCTGCCAAATTTCTCACAGGACACTAGCTTGGAGAATCTGTTCCTCAATAACACAAACTTCACAGGTACGATTCCTGGTTCCATCATCAATCTCATATCTGTTAAGAAGTTAGACCTTGGTGCAAGTGGCTTCTCTGGATCACTGCCCTCTTCGTTAGGCAGTCTCAAATACTTGGATATGCTACAACTGTCTGGACTAGAGCTAGTAGGAACCATTCCATCGTGGATCTCAAATCTAACTTCTCTCACCGTTCTCCGGATCTCTAACTGTGGATTGTCTGGACCAGTGCCTTCTTCAATAGGAAACTTAAGGGAATTGACCACATTAGCATTGTACAACTGCAACTTTTCAGGGACGGTTCCTCCACAGATCTTAAATTTGACGCGGCTGCAAACTCTCCTGCTCCATTCAAACAATTTTGCTGGCACGGTGGATCTCACCTCATTCTCAAAACTGAAAAACCTAACTTTCCTGAATCTCTCAAACAATAAACTACTTGTGGTAGAAGGAAAAAATAGTTCATCACTGGTATCGTTCCCCAAACTACAATTACTAAGTTTAGCATCTTGCAGCATGACAACCTTCCCAAATATCTTGAGGGACCTTCCTGACATCACTAGCCTTGACCTTTCCAATAACCAAATCCAGGGAGCTATACCTCAGTGGGCATGGAAAACATGGAAAGGCTTGCAGTTTATCGTCCTGAACATATCTCACAATAACTTTACGAGCCTCGGATCTGATCCTTTTCTGCCTCTTTATGTGGAATACTTCGATCTCAGTTTCAACAGCATTGAAGGGCCCATACCTATACCACAAGAAGGTAGTAGCACGTTAGATTACTCAAGCAACCAGTTCTCATACATGCCTCTTCGTTACTCGACTTACCTTGGTGAAACTGTGACTTTCAAGGCGTCCAAAAACAAACTTTCTGGGAATGTTCCACCGTTGATCTGCACCACTGCTAGGAAACTGCAACTCATCGATCTATCTTATAATAACTTGAGTGGCTCAATCCCATCTTGTTTATTGGAGAGTTTCAGCGAACTACAAGTATTAAGTCTGAAAGCAAATAAATTTGTTGGAAAATTACCTGATATTATCAAGGAAGGTTGTGCACTTGAGGCATTGGACTTAAGTGACAATTCGATTGAAGGGAAGATACCCCGATCTCTAGTTTCCTGCAGAAACTTGGAGATCCTCGACATTGGAAGCAATCAGATCAGTGACTCTTTCCCATGTTGGCTTAGTCAACTCCCTAAACTTCAGGTCCTTGTCCTCAAATCTAATAAGTTGACTGGTCAAGTAATGGATCCTTCATACACAGGACGTCAAATCAGCTGTGAATTTCCAGCACTCAGAATTGCTGATATGGCATCAAATAACTTAAATGGAATGCTGATGGAAGGATGGTTTAAGATGCTCAAGTCCATGATGGCCAGGTCTGATAATGACACGTTAGTCATGGAAAATCAATATTACCATGGGCAGACATACCAGTTTACCGCTACAGTTACATACAAAGGGAATGACAGGACAATTTCCAAGATCTTGAGAAGCCTTGTGCTAATCGATGTCTCCAGTAACGCATTCCATGGTGCCATCCCAGATACCATTGGTGAACTTGTTCTGCTTCGTGGGCTTAACCTGTCACACAATGCCCTTACAGGGCCAATTCCATCACAGTTTGGCAGGTTAGATCAACTTGAGTCATTGGACCTCTCTTTCAATGAGCTTTCTGGAGAGATCCCCAAGGAACTAGCATCACTGAACTTTCTTTCGACGTTGAACTTGGCGAACAACACGTTGGTTGGAAGAATACCAGACTCATATCAGTTTTCCACATTTTCCAATAGCTCTTTTTTGGGAAACACAGGTTTGTGTGGACCACCGTTATCTAGACAATGTGACAACCCTGAAGAGCCAATCGCTATACCATACACTTCAGAGAAATCCATAGATGCTGTACTTCTCCTCTTCACTGCATTGGGATTTGGCATTTCTTTTGCAATGACTATCTTGATTGTATGGGGAAGCCACATGAGAAAACGACACTGAGAGTACTTTGTGTATGTATACAACTCTAGCAGTATTGAGTGAGGCCAATATTCTTAACTGAAGCTATGAACGTTCTGATTTGAGCAATAATCCTGGGACTGTTGTAACATGAATTCCTATTTGACAGGTAGCTAGTGCATTTGGTTCTTGTAATTATGTGTTGGACTAGTCATTTTCATAGCTGATATATGGACGAATTGCTTTATTTTATATAAATTTCTCTCAGTATATCAGGGAAGACATGGTAGAAAGAAACCCAACCAGAAACGTGAAGTGCCACTCATCCCAATTATATGGTGTGGTTCTGCGGGTGATGACAAACATATAACAATATCCACGCTGTGATGTGCAGTTTGAGTTTTCACCGAGTTCCGCAGTCCCTTTTGGCCAAAATCTGTATGACCATAACAGACAAGATCAGAATAACGATAAACTGTCATGAAAAAGCCAATTAAATTTCACGAGAATCAGAATGTACCTTCAAGAAAAAGATGATTGTCATCATCACAGCATGTCACCGACGTAAACAGTAACCTGACCAAACTCTCGAGGCTCTCCTGGGCAAAACGTCGAACAGGGTGCCTGCACGGTAAGGCTTGTCAGAATTGGGTAGGCGGAAGCTACAACCCGGCGTCCCGAGCACAAATCGATCGTCCGCACCACACCACTCACATACCTCTAGCCTTTAGGCGGAAGATGATTGCTGACTTCAGGTGATATCAGATCGCCGCCCGCAAATCTCATTCGCTTCCTGTGGCAAGCAGCAAATGCAGGAGTTAATCTCCCATCTGTCATCGCGGGAGAGACCTCCCACTCGTTCTCCCCTCACCTGCCGCGCCTTCGTGGCGGCGACGAGTCCCTCTCGGCGCCCTTCTCCCGCGTCCGCGGTCCGCCGCCGCTCGGAGGCTTCGGGCTCGGTACGAAAGTTGTTTTCAACTCCATTCGTGTAGCTCCCGTGGGGAGTGGAGTGTGCTCTTTTTTTTTAACGGAAAACAGCACCCGTGAGCCTTTTCATTGAATAGAGCTTAAGAAAATACAACCCCTAGTAGAGGTAAAGAAAAAAAATCACCATAAGCTATACACTTTATAGAGCACAGAATGAACTCGTGCAAGTGCTCGGCACCTGCAAGGGCCCAGAGACTAGCCTCCTCTTTGATCTTCGTCAAAAGGAAACTTGTTGCCATCTCTTTGTGGTCGAAAATCCATCGGTTTCTCTCCTTTCAGATCTCCCAGACAACCAGTAGGATCAGAGATCGAAGTCTTTTTTTTTTTGGGACACTGGGTGTATTTGCTAGGTTCTCCTACCACTGTTGCACTGACTGGGCCTCATCCCATTGACCCGATTCCATCTGTTGGTAGCCCACCCAGCTAGCCACAAGGTGCTAGATCCTCTTGGTGTATCTACACGTGACGGTAAGGTGCAAGGCCGTCTCATCTTCTCACCGGCATAGGGGGCATTGGCCATTGTTTTGCCAACCTCTGGTGTGGAGTGTGTTCTAGAATACTAAGTTCAGCACCCAGACCTAGAGTTGGGAACTTCTCTCTTTCTTCCACGAACACGCTTTTCAAATGAATAAACGGTATTTTTTTAAAAAAAATTCTATACGAAAGTTGTTTTAAAAAAATCATATTAATCCATTTTCATAAAAAAAAGGTAATACTTAATTAATCACGCGTTAATAAATCACTCTATTTTCTGTGCGGAGCGATTCTTTTTTAGAAACCATCTGTCAACTTAAGAAATTCGGGCTACAGCACAAGTGTGAATCGAAATGACAAAATAGCACAGAAGGCAACATTTGTGTCTTCCGTTAGACTTGAATTGGGCCCACATATTGGTAAATGATACCGTGAAATCAAGAGATTTGTTTTGTTTCCTCGTGGTTAGAAAATGTCTATTTCTACAGACCTATAGTGCTTCCTACGGGGGCAGCTAATGGGCGGGTGAAGTTACTCTCTCACTTCCTCCTCCCCTCTTCTCTTCCTACTACACTATATGTTTTTAAGAAAATAAAAAAACAAAGTTGTAAAAATTTATGTATAGAAATACTATATATATATATATATATATGATATTTAAATTCAAATTCAAATTTAAATCGGGTATGTAAACTTTTGAATTATAAACTTTGGGTCTATAAACTTTAGGTGTATAAACTTTATATGCATAGAAATACTATATGTAAAACATATTTGAATTCAAATTCAAATTTGAATCGGATATAATTCAAATTCAAATTTGGAATCGGGTATATAAACTTTTGACTTATAAACTTTGGGTCTATAAACTTTAGGTGTATAAACTTTAGATATATGGAAATACTATATATAAAAAATATTTGAATTCAAATTTAAATTTGAATCGGATAAATAAACTTTTGACTTATAATCTTTGGGTCTCTAAACTTTAGATATGTAAACTTGAGGTGTATAAACTTTGGCAAAATTGGTTATATAGCATCGAAAGTTCACGTTTTTGCTTTTATAGCACCGAAAGTTACCGGTTCACTTTAATAGCACCCAAAGTTCACTATGTTCCCATTTTTAACACTTCCGTCAATTCTCGATCGTTTCCCGTCCGTCTTGATCCAGCCACACACATGATATGACGTTTCTACCCCTCACAAGTACAAGTATAATGCATTTCAATGAGGGGTAGAAATATCATATCATGTGTGTTGTTGGATCAATAACGATCAAGACGGACGGAAAAATTGACGGAAGTGCTAAATATGGTAACAGGGGTGAACTTTGGATGCTATTAAAGTGAACCGGTAACTTTCGGTGCTATAAAACCAAAAACGTGAACTTTCGATGCTATATAACCAATTTTGCCATAAACTTTAGGTGCATAAATTTACTAAAATAGAAAAGTAATGCTGTGACGAAAAAGGAAACCATGTGGAGAGAAGGGGGAGCGCGTTGGGGTGATTGCTTGGGGCGATCAATCACCCCTTAGCCTTTCCGGCTTCCTATATGCGTACTATAGGTATCTTCTGTATTTTTAATACTCTCACTGATAAATACTGAGAACTAGTAGAACCTCTGGTTTCTTTCAACAAATAAACAGTCCGCAATGGGAGGAGGTGGCACTACTGCAGAAAAGCTCTTTGCATGCGGGCAAAAGGCATCTTTGCATGTGGTTGGGGCAACCGCATGGGGGAGAAGGTCTGCAAAAATCACCCTTTTCGCATGCGGCCGGCACAACCACATGCGAAAATGGGATTTTCGCATGCGGTCGCTTATACTGGCCACATGCGAAAATAAATTCAGCAAACAAAAAAAATAAAAATCAAAAAATCCCAAACCCTAGCCCGCCGCCGCACGGTGTCGGATTCGTCACCCCCGCCGCCCGCCATCGTCGCCGGCACCGGATCCGTCTCCCCCGCCGCCCGCCGTCATCGCCGGCTCCGGATCCGTCGCCCCCGCCGCCCACTGTCGTCGCGATCTCCGGATCCGTCGCCCCCGCCGCCCGCCGTCGTCGCCGGCACCGCATCCATCTCCCCCGGCGCCCGTCGTTGTCGCGGGCTGCGGATCCGTCGCCCCCGCCGCCCGCCGTCGTCGCTGGCACCGCATCCGTCTCCCTCGCCGCCCGCCGTCGTCGCGGGCTCCGGATCGGCCGCCCCCACCGCCCTTGGCGCGGGATCCGCGGGGCGGCGCCGCCCGAGGTGGCAGAGCCGCCCCCGTTGCCACGGCAGTGAGGAGGGGGAGGGGGAGGGGCGGTGGTGCCGCCGCTCGAGGTCGTCGTCGCCGCGGGGGAGGGCGCCGCCGCCGGATCCGTGTTGGAGGAGGGCGGGCGAGTCGCCGGCGACGATGGAGGGAGGTAGAGGCGGCAGATCCACGCGGGCGGTGGCCACCGCCTCGCGCCGCGCCGCTCTCGGCCACTCCTACCCGCCGCCACCTCGCGTCGTGCCGCCCTCGACGCCCGCTGGCTCTCGGTGAGATGTAAAGAGAGATAGAGAGAGAGAGTGAAAGAGAGAAGACTTTGAGTGGAGAGGAAGAGAAGGACCAGAAGATAAAAGGATAGGTGTGAAAAATTTTGAACGGGAGGAGAGGGAAGGAAGAGGGATCATTTTTACATGCGGACCACTTAAGCGTCCGCATGCAAAAATCATGTGTTTTTTAAACTTCGAATTGATTTTTATGACATTAAATTAACTCATGTCAAAAAGTTGTCAAAAACAAAGTTGTAGTATTCATTGAGATCTACTAATTTTATTTTGGTCATTTGTCCATCCGAGTTTGATTGGACTATACAAAATTTGAATTTTCAAATATAAGAGATTTAAATAATTTTTCGGTTAGTAAATGATTTTAAATGGAAAAGTCATCAAATACAAAGTTGTGTAACTCATCAAGATCTTCAACTTTTGTTTTGGTCATTTTTATATTTGACTTTGTTTGAACAGTTTGAATTTGAATTTCAAAATATGACAACTTCAAATAACATTTTTAAATACTAAATGATTTCAACTGAAAAAGTCATCAATAACAAAGTTGTATAACTCATCAAGATCTATAACTTCTATTTTGGTCATTTCTTCTTCCGACAAAATGATTTGCAAGGTTGTTCACAAAATGTACATCTGTAATATATCTTTATAAAAACTATATAAAAGATGTATATTTTGTGAACAATCTTGCAAATCACTTTGTCGGATGAAGAAATGACCAAAATAGAAGTTATAGATCTTGATGAATTATACAACTTTATTATTTATGACTTTTTCAGTTGAAATCATTTACTACTTCAAAATATTATTTGAAGTTTTGAAATTCAAATTTTTAATTGATAAAACAAAGTCACAAGAAAAAATAGCCAAAATAATACCAGTAAGAACATAATAACATGATAGAGCATTATTTTAGAAACATTTAGAAAAAAAATCATTCAATTTGAAGTTCATATGAGTGAGATACACTAGTTTTATTTTTTTTAAATTTTTCAAATTTTATTTTCGCATACGGCTGCTTAAGTGGCTCGTATGGAAAAATCGATTTTTCCATGCGGGCGCTTAAGTGAGCCGCATGCAAAAAAATGACCTTATTTTTGCATGCGGACCTCTTAAGAGGATTTTCCCATACGGGCCACTTAAGTGGCCGTATGGGAAAATGATCCTCGATTTTTGCAGACACCAGTAGTTAGGGTCCGTTTGTAAAAATCATGGAGTCTCGTACAGAAAAATCACTTTTGTAGTAGTGTGGATCAATAATGTGTTCAGATTTTGATTAGTTCCAGAAGTACTATGCTGAATTGATCTTTTGATTTTTCACGTGCTGATTACTGATCAGTTGGTAAAGTCTTAATTTATGTGCCAAACATGCATGCAATTTAACTTGCACAATAATAAAGACCACAAACAAAGAACAAAGTGATATAATATGATCTAGACCACGAACTTCTCTGAATATTCCCACCCTAGCATTACACGTAGGACAGTTGTCTTCCATTAACCATGATATGTAATTCTTGCTGAACGGAGCTGCTACGCTGCTCTTGGAGAAGCATTCGCCGGCTCCTGCTCCCAGCTTCACTGCCCTGAGCATCCCCCAAGTACTGTTATCAAAGTAACAATATATGTGGCTTAACGAATACATCCCAACTGAAAGCACAATGTATATCTACTATTATAAAAATTAAACACAATGTATCTCTACTATTATCAAAATTAAAGATGTTTTTATCGGTACTTGGATACATCATCCGTATTTGAATCGATTTTAATTTTATGTTTCGGTTTTAATCTATATCTCTACTTAAAAAGAACGAGAAATTTCCATAGTCGATAAAAAAGAAAAAAAAGTCCGAGTAAAAAAAAAGAAAAAAAAAGCCCGAGTAAAAAATGAAAAAAAATAGTCCGACTAAAAAGGTTAAAAAAAATGTCCGACTCAGACGCGATAAAAAAGCTTCTGCCGCGCGTCAGTAAAAAAAAATCGTCCGACTCCATTAAAAAAAGGAAAAAAATAGTCTCGCCAGTAAAAAAAATTCTGTTTGGTTTTTTTGCACCGGTATTTTTCCGACTTTTTCTTTCACGTGAAAGAGTTTTTTTCCACACGTGCTATTGGTTTTTTTTCCGTTTTTTAATCCGATCGGTTCACCGCGTCTCCCGGACCTTTTGTTTTTTTCATCAACTTTTTTGTCACCGGTTTTTTCTCCCTTTTGGTTTTTCTCATCTGGTTTTTTTATTCTTTGCACGTCTCCCGAGTTGAACTCTGGCTCCGCGCCGACGCCATATCAATCATGCGTTTTCTACTCTAATTTGATTGCAAAAAAATCGATTCCCAGTTTCCCACTCCTCGTACTTATCATTTTCTCCATGATTTTCCTGGCTTTATTTGATCGGATTTAATCTAACAGTTGTCAATGATGACGGCGATTTTCCCTTATCGTTTTTAATTATCGCCAGTTTTACACTCTGATTTTGGAAAAAAAGGGAAATAGGAGATTGAGTGGATAAAAAACCCTCATCCAATTTTGCATGATCGAGAAAGATTTGGCCGGATTTGATGGGTCGAATGAAGCAGGCCAAATGGAGGGAGGGATTTGATGGGTCGAAGAAAGCATGCCAAATGGAGGGAAGTAGGCCAAACAGAGGGAGGTAGCGGACTTTACTAGGGCTGAAAGGAAGGAAGACTTTCGGCCAAAACCCAGGAAAGATTTTCATTAACTTGTTTAATTGTAATATATAGCGATCCCAATATTAAAATTTTCATTACCTTTTTCAACTATAATGTATAGTGATCCCAATATTTCAATTTATTGCTCAGCTCTTAATATATCATTGAAAAAATATCTTTACCCGTTGCAACGCACGGGCAAATTTTTCTAGTAAAGAAAAAAAAAGAAGCTGTAAACCATATTGAAGAATACATTATTTCTGCACACGGTCCATTACTTTATTTTGTTTTTCCTAATGCCTGTTCAGTTTTAAACAATTAAAAACTGATATGGCAAACCAAAAACATGTCATTCTTCAGTTGGAAAGGGGCAGAGAGCGGAGTCGGTGCCGCCCTCGGCCTCCTTCAGATTTATTCGACGCCTCTCGGGACCGGGATTGGTGACGTGTGCGGCTGCGGGAGCCCCCTCCGCGTTCGCCCGATTCTAACAGCGGCGGCCACTTCGAAGGCGTGCGGTAGGATGCACCATGCACCGTCCAGTAGGAGAGCGATACAACCTGATGGCTAATGGATACTCTTATTTTCCTTTTTTTTATTTACGAAGAACTGATAAAACCATAAATACCAGCATTAGCCTAATGATTATTAGTAAAGTGCTTATGTCCTTATGAACCAATGGTCTTAGATTGATTCTACTGGTAGTATTACACTAAGTAGAGAGCTTTCTTCATTCATGGGCTTCTGATGGGTTAGGCTAACTGAGCCTCTAAGGAACTTTAAGAAGTTTAATGGAAATTACATGACTAATACGGTTACCGATAAAAAGGTCGGAAAAACCTCCATCCTATTTCCGGAAGATATTACCGTTTCCATTTCCGACACCAACAATTACTGATACCGACTGAAATGGTACATGCAAATCAGAAATGGCAGCCAAAGATCTCGTAAATTTCCATACCGTTTTCATCCATATTTTGAGGGATACACATTACATGTAGAATTCAGATGGATTGCAGTAACATGCATATTCATTTACTCACTATATGAAGGTTCCACGACACCAGGATGTATAGCAAATGATATTTCACTGTCAATCAAACACCACTAGTTCTTCCATAAAACAAAAATCAAGCACCAAAATTACCATAACTCTGTATACAAGTCAGTTAAACACTACTAAAAGAACAATATACACGATTGTTTTCTTTCCAAGCCAGAGCATGGCAGAGGCAAAGATGCTCAATTTGATTCAGTTTCAGGCCTTTCTCTTTCTGATTGTTTCTGAGGTGGGTCAATACCAAAAATAATCTTCCAGTCTACAGAAGTACTCTGACAAGATTATTTCACCATATTGCTAAAATTGTAATTCCAAAGCAGACACCAAATCTCAAAGTAGTCAAGAGAAAGAGGCTCGAATATCTATGGCTCAATTTCAAAGGTGGCAAAAAAATTTCTCTAGGTGCTAATTTTTATAGGATTTCCCCATAAAGCTCATTTGACGAGAGGTCTAACAATTCGAGTTGTTTCAAGTTAGCAAACTGAACTGGGATTGGACCAGTAAGAGCGTTATGAGACATGTTGAGAGCACGAAGCAACACAAGTTCCCCAATGCTTCTAGGGATTCTACCATGGAAAGCATTATTTGAGACATCAATGAGTACAAGTGTTCTTAAGGTCTTGGAAATTGTCAGGCCACTGCCTTTGTATGAGATTCCAGCAGTGAACTGGTATGACTGCATCTTGCCACGGTAATACAGATGCTGTTCTTTCATTAACATATCATTATCAGACGTGACCATTATCATTGATTTGAGCATCTTGAACCACTCTTCTGGCAATGTGCCACTGAGGTTGTTCGATGATATATCAGCAAACTGCAGCTTCATAAATTGACAGTTATTTCCACCTCGAGTATAAGAAGGATCCAATATCTGTCCACTGAACCTGTTAGACTTGAGGACCAGGACTAGAAGTTGAGGAAGTTTACTCATCCAACATGGGAAAGAGTCACTAATTTTATTGTTTCCAATGTCAAGGATCTCCAGATTCCTGCAAGCAACCAAAGATCTTGGTAGCTGTCAGGTAACTCGCCGGTAAGATGATTTTCCTTTAGACTTAGTACCTGCAGTGCATTTGCATCCTCCATCAGACATGATGGTATTAAGCCAGTCAAATTGTTGTTAGAGAGATCAATGAGTTGTAAACTCTTAATCCCGTCACAGATCGATGGTGGAATGTTTCCAGATATGCTATTATTGGAGGCCTTGAAAAGGACAGTATTTGATAGGTAAGTAGAGAAATTGAGAGGCAGAGATGAGAACCGGTTGTTGGAGTAATCAAGGGTGACACTTCCTTCTTTTGGTATAGGTATTGTCCCTTCAATATTGTTGAAACTGAGATCGAAGAATTCAATGTAAACAGGAAGAAAAGGGTGAGATCCAATACTCGTAAACTTATTATGTGATAGGTTGAACAAGGCAAAGCCTAGGTTCAAGGTCTTCCATGCCCACCGAGGTATTGCTCCGTGGATTTGGTTATATGAAAGATCAAGGAAAGTAATCTCATGGAGATGCCGCAAAATGTTAGGGAAGCTAGATATACTGCAAGATGCTAGTCGTAACAATATAATATTAGGGTAGCACACTACTGAAGAACTATTTTCACCATCCATCACAACTAGTCTATTATTTGAGAGATTCAGGGCAGAAAGATTTTGCATTTTGGAGTACGATGATAGCTCCACTGTGCCAACTAAATTGTTTGAATGGAGCAGGAGGTATTGCAAATGAGTTAAATTTAAGATCTGTGGAGCTATCACTCCTGAAAAGTGGCAATTGTACAGTGCCAATTTTGTCAGTTTTGTTAAGTTCCCTATGGAAGCTGGTATGGGTCCGGACAAGCCACAACTGAAGAACTTGAGAACGTTAAGAGAAGTCAGGTTTGAGATCCATGATGGCATGGATCCTGCTAGCTCTAACCCAGACACCTCTAATAAAGACAAGGATTTCAGCTGACTGATGGAGGAGGGCAGCACTCCAGAGAAACCACTAGCTCCAAGGGCCAACTCCTTGAGAGATCTGAGGTTGCTGATTGAACTTGGAATTGTGCCTGAGAAGTTGGTGTTGCTGACAGATAAACTCTGTAAGCTACTGTCACCTGAGAAACAAGGCAAATTTCCGAAGATTCCTAGATTTTTGGTGAGGTTAATGGTTGTTAGTTTCTCATGCTGGAAGATGATGGGAGGGAACACCCCTTCAAACATGTTATTTGCAAGCTGAAGAACACTAAGGTTGGGGAGTGCAGCCAAGAACTCAGGAACTGGACCAGACAAATGATTGTACTGCAGCTCTATCACTGAAAGTGATCGCAAGGCCGAGAGTGAGTGGCAAATGGGACCGGAGAGTGAGCAGTACGGCATGCTAATGACCCTCAGCTTCGGGGAGGACCTGGCCATGGCGTCGCACCACCGTGCAGTGCCCTTGCTCGACATGTTCTTCACCACCACCATGCCCAGGCGAAGCTCCTCCAGGTTGGTGAGGTTTGCGAGCAAGGTCTCCAAGCTCGACTCCGAGAGCTGTGCCATTGTGTCCGAGTAGTAGTACGTGATGCTGTACTCGTCGTCCAACTCCTCTACAAAAAATGTTGTCGACAGGTCAAGGTAGGAGAGTCTGGTGAGGCGGCCGATGCCGGCAGGTACCAGGCCGGCGAAGTTTGTGTTGGAGAGGTCAAGATGGGTGAGCCCGGTGAGCTTCTCGAACCCTGTGGCTGGCATCTGGGACTTGCCGAAGTCGTTGGAAGAGAGGTCAAGGTATTCCAGCGAGGTTAGGCTGAAGAGTGCGTCGTCAAGACCTGAGGCGGCTTGCAAATCACGGTGGCTCAGGTCGAGCGAGGTGACACGGCCGCCGGCGCCGCCGCACCGGACGCCGTCCCAGCTGCAACAGTCTGCGCCGGCAACGGCAACCCATGACCGGAAGGCGGCAGAGTAGTCACCGATGGTGGCGTTGAAGGAGCGTTTCAGCTGGAGCAGCGCCGCTGCCTGGTCTGGGAGGCACGCAGCCGGTGCTACTGCTTCCGTGGAGCTTGTATGGTCAGCAAGGACGAGGATGAGTAGCATGGCTAGCAGAGGCATCAGATGGTAAGCAGATCGCATGTTGAAGAACGTACGGCTGGGTTGGGTTTGTTTTCTACGTACTGATCTATGGCACACAAAATACAGGTACATCTACTTGCACTTATACATGTAATCCCACTGTCCAGTTTAGAAAAGTCTTTGTTTTGATTGTCCATTCTACTCAAACTTTTGGAACCTCACAATTTTCATAAAGACTTGAAATATGTAGGAAAATGATGTTTATATTTGTGTTGAAAATAATCTATTATCTTATTAAAGTAATAGAAAAAGAAGCATCCAATTTTGTTCTCATGGCCTAGAAATTCTCACACTAATCAGGAAAAAAGAAAATAGAGTTAATATAGAAATACAATTTAAAATAGCAAAATAAAATTAAAGTAAAATAAAAAATATATAAGGAGAATTCATTGTAGATAAGGACTCTTTCTCTTTCCTTTTTAGAAAAAAAAATTGTGTCCTTCGGACAGCTGCATAGAACGCTTAGTCTTTTGCAAGGAAAGATAACCTAAGCTGGCTACAGTGACCGTGTACAATACAAATCACAAGTGTGCATGTCCGTAATAGGTATTAGTTTTATTGCTTATCTTGATCTATTCTCTCCTTTACAACAAATCAAATCTCTAATGGCAGGTTCATACGTGCACATTCCTGATGCATTTATATATCTATCTATATTATCTTAATCTTAATGTAATAGAAAAAAGGCCACCATATTCGCTCCCACTTTCTACAAATTTCCATATTAATTAGAGAAAAAGAAAAATAGAGTTCAAATAGAAATATCTTTCAATATATCTGAAATTCAGAATAAAGAATTATCTTCAACTACCTAGAGAAAAACAAAACTATTTAGAAATAAAAATACAATTCAATATATCTAAAATTCGGAATAGAAAATGAAGAAAAATTTGAGAAGAGTCTATATAGAAATATAATTTAGAAATATCAAAAACTCGGATTAAAAAGAACAATAGCTTACATATAGAAATACAATTTTAAATAGCTAAAATTCGGAATTAAAAATAAAAAATATTGAAAGAAAAGATTAGAGTCCATACCTGTATGTAATTTAGAACTAATTAAAATTCAGAATTATAAAATAAAAAAATTAGAAGTAGACGTTGGAGTCCATATAAAAATACAATTTGTAACTAAAATTTAAAATTAAAAAAAAGAAATATTGAAAGAATAGTTTAGAATCTATATAAAAATATAATTTAGAAATAATAAAAATTCAAAATTAAAAAATAAGGAATGTTGGTAGCTAGCCGTACAATCTGCGCGGGCCACCATACTAATTTCTGTAATATCGTAAGGGAGTACCTATACATCTTTCGAAAGATTTTTATAATCGTATCACACAGATTTTTAATCTTTGTATTAAAATCCGATAGATATAATAAAAAGCAAAAAGCAATTAAGAAACACCATAATGAACATTAAATTACCATATCCTCAAGAAAAAGACCAAATCAAATACAAAATTTAAAATTTACATGTGAAGATTCAAAAATTACAGTGTAACTTACAAAAGTTACAGTGTAAGTTTCATAAATTACACTGTAACTTACAAGAAAATACACTGTAAATTTGAGTGAGAAAATCGAGTGAGAGATAAGAAAAAATCTTTCGAGTGAGATATAGCAAAATCGATATCGTAATTCTATCTAGCTAGCTAGTTTTAAAAATTAGTGGTGGCAGTTTATCCAGCCAACCGTCCATATGTCGTATTAATTTGATTGAAAACTCCTTTCAAAAAAAAAAGAAAAGAAAGATTGAAAACATAGGTCCATATGACACGGCCCATTTCAGTCGATAAGTTTTGAATGACAAACGGTTTCGTAGTCAGCGGTTGACTGAGGTTTTATTTTTTTTTTAAAAAAAATGGTGATAAATCCGATGTCATTATACGTAGCCAAAGGGTATATTTAGATTCCAAGTCTCGTAACAATAAATAAAAAAAACACTAATACCTCGTTCTGTTAATCTCTAAGAAGAAGGGATTGAAGGGGATTTTTTGAGAAGGAATAGTTCCGCACCACAATAGAGTTCATTAAATCACCCTTCAAAGCCCTGAAAGAAGATTAGCTTTAATCTTTTCTTGCCTAACAAGCTCCACCAAATAAAAAACATGATGAGCCCTGACCTGAAAGGCACATAACAGAGGATGGGTAGCATGGCTAACGCTTTGTTTTAATATTAATTAAGTATTAGCTAAAAAACTTGAAAATAGATTGATATTATTTTTAAAGTAACTTTCATATAGAAAACTTTTATAAAAAATACACCATTTATCAATTTGAAAAGCGTGAGCGTGAAAAACGAGGAAAATGAGTTGGGAAAGAAGGGAAAAGAACACAGTGTATGGCTAGCAGAGGCATGAGATGGTAAGCAACTCTCATTATGGAGGACAATATGTTGGAAGTTGACTGGGTTTATTTTGTTCTCAACTCTATGGTACACATGAATAAATACATCTACTTATGTACTCGATCTGTCTAGTTATTCCGAACATCCGTTTTAGTCAAACCTTTGAAACCTCGTGATTTTTTTAAAGACTTGAAACGCGTATGAAAATGATGTGTATATATTTGTGTTGAAAAATATATATCTTATAGAATATCATAATTCTATTGGATTTATAAATATAATCTATCTATCTATACCTCTATAAGCACTTTTTTTTAAGCTCTCACGTTAACCAGAAAAATCTGACCATTGATTAGATTAATCTTATTACGATGACCCTAGATTAAATATCTCACCTAACGGGTCAACTTTGAAGACCCAATCAATTCATATACCAATCTCAACCTCTATGAATAAGGGTCGGTCCTGAGATTTCGGTGGTCTAGGTCGGTCCTGAGAAGTGATATCCATACAAAAAAAAATTCAAACATATTGGCCATTTGTAGGTGTGAAATCATTGATGATAAGTATCACTATCATCTGTATTTCTTGAAGTATCTATTTTACTCTTAAATTTTAATTTATCCATTGCTCAATTAGCCCAATTACTCGTTCTTTTTTTAATGTATACTTTCTCGACCACATTATATCCATACGGGCAAATTATTGAAAGGGAACATTTTAAAGTTGAACTCATAGCTTAAGGCTATAGAAGTACTGTATTAATTCAGAAAAATATAACCAACAATTATATTAAACTCACAAATCGACATAGTCTGTACTATCTATCTATCTTCTATCTATCTATTATCTATCTATCTATCTATCTTCTATCTATCTATCTATCTATCTATCTATCTATCTATCTTCTATCTTCTATTATTATTATTATTATTATATACTAAAAGTCCATTAAACTTTCTCAAAACGCTCTCAAGCCGACACGTGGCGCTCTAATAAATTAGAGAAAATCCTAGAAAATCTGAGAAAAAAGCAAAACATCCATTCGTTGATCTTCACTTAAATCGGTGGGTCCAATATTATAAGCCGTTAGATTAGATATTGATCTTAAAACAACCTGAACAGCGGCTACTCCTTCCGTTCCCTTCGGTTCTGTTACATAAGTACCTACGTACGTAACCAACAATGGTTACTCCTTCCCGTGTACGTACGTAATTAACCTTTCCTTCTTTTTATTTTCCATGTACATAGTGGAGACAAAAATAATAATAATAATTTTTATTATTGATAATAAATCAATCTATCTATCTTCTATTACTCCCTCCGTTTCGTTTTATTTGACACCGTTGACTTTTTAGCACATGTTTGACCGTTCGTCTTATTCAAAAACTTTTGTGAAATATGTAAAACTATACGTATGCATAAAAATATATTTAACAATGAATCAAATGATAGCAAAAGAATTAATAATTATTTAAATTTTTTGAATAAGACGAGCGGTCAAACATGTGCTAAAAAGTCAACTGTGTCAAATAAAACGAAACGGAGGGAGTATATAGTAAAATTCCATTAGTCTCTCCTGTACATACTGTTCGTTTGGAAAAAAACAAACGACGTTTACTGGAAAAACTTGCGATGGGAAAAAAATACCTTTACCTATACTGTTCATTTGAAAAAAGCACGCAAGTACGATAAAAAAAGCTATAAAACCTTAAAGAAAAATATATGTGTTAGAACCATCGTGGAAAAATAGACTATCTTTTTAAATAGGATTTTCTACACTATAAAAATATAATTTAATGCTCATAAATATGGTCATGTGGCACTTCTACAATCACTCTTAGACTGCCACGTGGAACTACGTAATCTCGTCATCAATTTTCATTTAAATTGATGGACCTGTTATGAATAATAGGGGATGAAAACAAACTAGACGCTAAAATATAGATATTTATCAAAATATAAACAATAATATGATACTCTGAAGATTATCAATAATATGATACTCTGAAGATTATCACGGTCGTATGTATGTTTAACGATACATTTTTTAATGACCAACCTCACTCATTTTAAAAGAGAATATTGTATCTATACCATATAAAATTTAAGCAGTACTGATTAACACTACAAACAAATTGTGTCAACGCAAAACGTAAAAAATAATATTTTTAAGGAAAGAATTAGTTTCATCACATCCATCTTCTCTTTCTTTCCTAAAGGGCAACAAGTAGTAAACATAATTATAGAAGGGACATACATATGATTAAGTTGAGGCAGACCCATTGAAGGCCACCGTTGATAATAGCACTCAACTTCCTACTTACTAATGATCTTTGAGGGTGCTGATAGTGAAATACGACTTAAAATTATGCTCCATGCTAGCTTTGATAGGCACGAGTACGTCACTATAAAACCCATGTTTGAAGGCAAAAGAGAAATAAATCCTTGGTAGCTCCACCTGTTAGAGGGATATTGATGTCTAATTTTTATCAGTGTTATCCCATTAACCAATAGAAGCAGTGTTTTTAGAATATTTATTTATATATTTAGAAATAAGAGTTGAGATAAATATTTAGGTATGCATATAGTGGAGATTAATGTTTTATGTATTAATAATGTATTAGGCTTATTTTGGTGATACATATGTAATTCCATTTATTAAAAAGGCATCTAGCAACAATGATAGTTAGTAATGGTGACAATAGGTGAGTTTACGTGTATTATGAACGAAAATGATTTTTGTTTGAA